AAAAAGCATCCTACATGACTAATTCAGAGAGTCGCACACATTAAATAACCTAGTCAAACACAAGTATTTGTGGAAGAAGGAGGGAAAACATCAAATAAATAACTACAGTGAGAATTTCTGTATAAATTAAATGAGTGTTATCATCCAGAGCCAAGCCCTGTACTTGGCCAATAATAGACCCTGGATGCAATAGTTCCATTTAAATAGCTTGTCGCAAATTTTCCAAAAGCCAGATACAAAAAGAAGTCCTGACATAGTGAGCCCAAGAGAATGTCAGAGCGCAGCACTCCACACAATCAAGGCACAGCCCGTACACCTTGTGGAGTCAGGCAAGAGGAGGTTGGGAGTTTAGGTGGGTGAGATGGAGAACAAAGGCTGTGGAGGCAAACTTGACCTTTGTCCTAATTTTGCCTACATTGCGTTTGTGGAAAGATTTGTGAGAGGATGAGACCCAGATAAACTAGGAGAATGAGAGGAATCTTGTCTTACGAAAAAAGAGAAGATATATTCATTCTTACTTAATAAAACATGAAAATAGAAAAGAGGATTAAAAGTGATATTGCATTTCTGAAGAGGAAAAGAGAGAGGAAGCTGGGTGAATTTAATGTTTCGATAAAGTATTACGTTAGAAGGTAGAAAAAATTTCAAAAGTAAACTGCAGTTCAAATAGGTAAATTTTGTGTATAAGACACTCAGAATTAGCTTTCTATTCTCCTTTCTAAATAATAGTATTTCTCTAATAACTGTAATTGTGATTCACCAACAGTCTGTTCATAAGGGACTGAGATCTGTGGCTGTGGGAATGGAGCAGAAAGTTATTTTGTAGGATGTGCCACAGCCTAATATTTATCAAGATTATACTTTATTTGAATATTGTTATGGACCCCTGAATAAATTAGAATTCTTTTTTGAATGTATCTGATTCCAAACTCCTGTGATTTCCACTGCATGAAAGAATCTCAGACATGATAATGTATTCTAGGGGTAATAGAATCACCAGCCTTTACTTGGCTCCTAATTAAGAATCATTGCAAAAGAGAGTAATCTAGTGCTACTATAGTATTACATTCTATATCTCAATCTGTGAGTCCAAATAAAGATTAGAAAGCTATGCTCTTTTATGTTGATTGAAGGACAAGGGGATGCAGAAAGAGGAGTAGGGATAAGGCATTAAACAGTTGAATGGCGCAGTTTTTAGAAACTCTATGACAGTTTCAAAGTGCAGAAATGGGAGGACACAATTTTCCCCTTACCAAAAGTTAGTTTGTGATTTGTCTCTATGCTTAAACATTTGCTTCTCTGAAAAGATTATTCGTTGAAGTTCGCTCTGGACAGAGTAAAAAACTGGACAGCTAAATGAACCTTCTAGTATGTGCAAAAAGAGAGGGATGGAATTAATACTGTGAATCTTGAAGACTACCTCATTAGCTAATATCAGGTTATATTAGCAAATGGACTATGAGTATCAGCAGGAGAGAAATAGGTTTGAGAGTATAGGTAGGGAAGTAAATTATTTAAATGGAAAAGAAACAGATCGCATCTTGGTACAATCACAGGATTTAGCAGCAATTCTAACCTTCCTGATGTTGCAGGAAGCCTTTTAGCTATCAAAATTGGCCGAAATTTTCTCTACTTTTTAAAAGATTAAACTCTAAATTGAGTTAAAATTCCATATAAAGTACATTAAATCATTCATTCAAAAATTATAGGGTACATGCTACGTGTCTGGCACAATTTCCATAGCAACTGATATAAGAGGTTTGGTGGATTTGATCGGAGACGTAAAAAGGAACTTGGCAACCCAAAGGAATTGACTGAGTGCACACTTTATTATATAGGGAAGGGGAAAAGTGAAAGTTAGCAAATAGATATGGAGAATACAGGAAGTAGCTATATACAAAGAAGCATCAGACTGGGTACTTATAACATCCAAATAAGTCAATAAAAAGAGGAAACAACACCAGATCGATCAAAAAAGAGAAACATCAGATCGATCGAGAGAGAAACATCAGACAAGGTACTTACAACATCCATACCCTTCCACCTGAGAGAGTCCCTTCAACTGACACGGCTAGGTGGGAGTGCCGATTGAAAGAGGTCCTGGGCAAGGCGTCCCCCCTACAGGGGAGACTCTCACCAGGCCTCAGTTTCCAGCAGCTCATATAGTATGAGTAATCTCCAGAGTAAGCATTTGGTGTTGTCATGCACAAATGGTTATCAGTTGTGTACATGCATTGAGCTCCATGGTTATCGTCCTAGCCCTGCACAGATGGCCAGTCTGTCCCGGGTTATGATGCCCAAAGAGTCTTGTAATCTTACAAATTGTAACTATCTCTGTGGGAGAAGGGCCAGTTCCCACCACACAGAAAGTCATTTTATATCTCTTTGTGTGCTGGTGGCTGTAGGTTCATGGACCAGTCAAACATGGCTGTACTCATGTCAAGACAGCAACAAGGGATCTAACAGAGAAAGAACAAATCCCCTGTTTGTAGAGTTTATTTGTTAGTGACTCAAATGATTCAATGACCCTAAGAATATTAGGATTTTATTGAACTTCTGGAATGTCTCCATATATATTATCTATGTGAATTCCTGCTGATTTTAATGAAAACTACACAGCGTAATTCCTTGAATCAAGAACATCAGTACTTTTCATCAGAGCAAGGGTGTTGAGGTTGGGGAGTGAGGTGGGAAAACTAAAGAAAACATGCCACACTCCACCATCTCTCTTGGAAGAGAGACACACAGTAGGTGGTTTCAGCTTTGAAAAAGGAAAGTAAGCAGAAAGTAAAATGACTTCAATCTCTAAAAAATGTTGTATAAGAAGCTATTCTGGACAATGTGAAAAAAATGTAAGTACCTTAAAACAAGAAGTCCAGGAAAGAGATTACTAGAGAAACAACAACAAGCAAACAACAACAGTGGATGGAGAATTATATTAAAGGCAAAGTGAAGACTAGTTCAAAGGCCAGAGAAAAAGTCTGGAAAAAGAGTATTTACAAAGTTTAGAATTGGGATTTTTATGCCTTTTGTGTAAGAATGTACTGGAAATGACAGTGCAATTTGAAACACACACAAAAATCAGAATGTTGAACACGTTGACCAGAATAGGCATTACAGAATACAGCTTAGTCTCAGCACATAGACAACTCTGTTTTATTTGTTCAGCACACATTCACAAAACACCCTACAGGTGCTAGACATGAGGGAATGTAAGGATATATAAACTATAGCCTTCACTTCGGAGAAGTTTACAGAAACATAAAGGAGCCTACTAAAGTATACAACATGACATATTCCAAGACAGGATAGGCAACAGGTGCTTGGAAATAACACAGGATCATAATCTCACATGCACCGGGTAGATCAATGTAGATTTCCTTGAAGAACTGATACCTAAGGAGAATCCTGAAAGACCAAGAGCCCTTAGTCACTCATAGGATTAGCCCTTGCAGAGGGGAGAACATGTAGAAAATACGAAGAATTGCAAGCTGTCAAGGTTAGTGGAACTTATGTTATGAGCAATAGAGGTGAGGGCCTCCTAAGTGACGATGTGATGAAATAAGGAAGGTCCTGTCCGTGAAGAACCTTGCAGGGAACAAAAAAGAGATTAATCTTTGCAAGAAATAGTCCTCACTAGGAGAGGAAAATGCTTGGGGAGGCAGCAAGATTTCACTTTGAGCACATAGCACATGAGGTACCCTTGGAACATCCAACTGGTGGTGTATACTTAGCGATGTTTTTCATTTGGAAATGTTCGGGCCTTTGAAATTCATATAAATGACAATAAAATCAATTGCACTGAGAGAAACTACCGTTGGAGAGTATGGAGTAAGAAGAATAACAACGAGAAAACAAGAAGGGAGAGGTCTCAACATAGAATATTGAGGAAGGGCAGTATTTCACAGATGAACACAGAATGAGGTGAGTGTGTAGGTCACTAAGAAGAGAGACCTAGAGTTAGGAGAAAAATCAGAATGATGGCACAGAATCTGTTTGAAGAATGATTAAACTTTAATTTTAAGGAAAATGTTAGGGGATAACTGTAAATATGGGCCATTGGCTTCAACAGTGAAGTTCTTCTAGGTGTTAGAAAGCAGTAGGGGGTTGGAAGTGAAACCCAGAGAGTTTGCAGAGAGTTAAAGTTAAACTGAGCAGGGATAAGATGAGAAGGTGGAAACACTAATATCTTTTCAAAGGAATTAAAAACATAATGAAAAAAGGCACAGCCTGCAAGACTATATTTAGTAGCATTACACATACTTTAAGTTTAAAGGATTTTGGGAGAAATGGGACCACAGTCAGTTAACCGAAATATAACATGAATGTATATGAGGATATTCCTTTTGCAAATATCTTGAACACAGCCTTTTCTCACAATGTAGATAAAACAGTTGTACATCAAACCACTTATGAGTTTAGAATAAGGAATACAACCAGAAAGGAATAAATAGACAAAGGAAAATCTCAGGATCCCGTGTTGTGTTTGGTTGTCATTGTTGTTTGTTTGTTTTCCAGAAGAAATGCATCTTACCCTTAAAACAATGTTTTGACAGTAACAATCGAAGAGAATCCATTTTCTTAATTATCTGGTTATGTCCTACATCTAAGGTTTGTCTTGGATAAAGAATGTTTAAGTACACAAGAAGTAACATCATCTTTTTTTCCCCTAATTTACTTGTAAATCCAATTCATGTAATGAATTACAAACAATAAACTACATTCTTAAACTTTGAGGGGTAAAGATTATGTGAAAAAAGATGGATTGTTTTACAATAGCATGAATCCCGACGGAATAATCTGCTGCTCACACATGTAAAACTCAGGAAGGTTGTTGGAATAGTGGCAATATTGATTATGATGAGAAAGGAGAATGTAAATGTGGACTGGTTTGCTTGGCTTTTATATGGCAGTCTTGTGCTACAGACTTTGAATATCTACCTCCTGATAAAATCTCTTTGAGTTTTACACGCCCACTGGGTAGATTTCACAAGGCAGTGATGAGGAACCACACAGCAATAACAACTTTTATCCTGCTGGGACTGACAGATAACCCACTACTGCAAATCCTGATTTTTGTCTTTCTATTTCTCACGTACATGTTAAGTGTAACAGGGAACCTGACTATTATCACCCTAACATTGATAGACTCCCATCTTAAAACACCTATGTACTTTTTCCTCAGAAATTTTTCCTTCTTAGAAGTCTCATTTACCACTGTCTGTATTCCTAGATTCCTGTACAGTATATCAACTGGAGACAATACTATTACCTACAATGCGTGTGCAACTCAAATATTTTTTGTTATTCTCTTTGGAGCAACAGAATTTTTTCTCCTGGCAGCCATGTCCTATGATCGGTATGTTGCTATCTGTAAACCCCTTCACTACATGAGCATCATGAACAATAGAGTGTGCACCATATTAGTCACCTGCTGTTGGGTGTCTGGCTTGATGATCATTGTCCCACCCCTTACCTTGGGTCTCCAGCTGGAATTCTGTGACTCCAATGCTGTTGATCATTTTAGCTGCGATGCAGCTCCCCTCCTAAAGATCTCATGCTCAGACACCTGGGTAATAGAACAAATGATTATCCTTGTGGCTGTATTTGGACTCATTCTCACCCTCATGTGTGTGCTTCTGTCCTACACATACATCATCAGGACAATTCTGGGATTCCCCTCAGTCCTACAAAGAAGAAAGGCCTTTTCTACCTGCTCATCCCACATGATTGTGGTTTCCATCGCCTATGGAAGCTGCATCTTCATCTATGTCAAGCCCTCAGTAAAGGACCAGGTGGCCATAAATAAAGGAATTGTAGTTCTCACTACTTCTGTTGCACCCTTGTTGAACCCTTTCATTTACACTCTGAGGAATAAGCAAGTGAAACAGGCTTTTTATGACTCTATAAAGAGGATTACATTTCTCTCGAAATCGAAATTTTGATGAATTGGAGTATAATGAAAGAAGAAAGTCCTCTAAATATTTATACAGATTCTAACTTATTTAATTGCTTTGTGCCTACAATTTAGTCAGATTAATCTTTTCAAAGAAATTTAATACTGAATCCTAATCTCACTTTAATCAAACTCTTTCTTCTTTTTTCAAACCAAATTCATACATGCTGTTTTCCCTCATTGCAAAACTATAAAAATTTCTTCCTCTAAAATAATCAAACTTAATATTGTAAATCTAAGAATCAAATAAAGAAAAGAAAACAACAACAGCAAAGATGTATTAAAATAAATTAATCCAAATAAGGCATTCCAGGCCTATTAAAATAAGAAAAACAACAATGTGAAAACAAAGATATCAATGAGAGTTCAGGAATAATCAGAATTGAAGAAATGGAAACATCTTTACTGATAATATGTATTCACTATTTATATTTATTCATGAGAGAACTTCGACTAAAAGGCATACATTTTAAAAAAACAAATTTAAACATAATGTCACTTATTATGAGTTACAAAATTAGAATAGATGCATAAGAGTGAATTGGAACACCGAATTTTAAATGCTGATGAAAGAAGACAGCTCTTCACATCAACACAAGGCTACCTGAATGATTTAAGAAAATATCAAAGATATTCAACCAGCAGAACAGAAAAAAATAAAAAACTGCAAAAGGGAATAGATATTGGAATTATAATCAAGGGGAAAAGTGAAGAGAATATTCCCTAAATTGAAGAACTTAGATTTTGAAGCAGGTAACAGTGTGCTTGTCAATGGGAAAAAAAAAAAAAAAGAAAGAAAAAGAGAAGAAAAGAAGCCTCCACTGATGATGCTCCCACCTTTTTAGTTACTATCTTAGAAAGTAAATAATTGTGTCTACTGGCTAACAGACAAAAAGAACAAAGAATTAATTGTTTAAAATTTTTTGAAAAAATTACCTGTTAGATTAAAAACTCAAGGTCTACTTATTTTAAATTTTAAAAGTGGAGTTTGAAGCAGTAAACATTCTTTAAATTATTCCTATTGGCATAATTTTGAAAATAACTGCCATTTTGATCTACCAATGACATGTTGAACTCTTTTCAAATATTATTATTGTCCTTATCAATCCTGTAAATATGTTTTCATTGTATCAAAATGTAGACAAAAGATGATTGAGTAAATTGACTAACATAGCACAAGTGGCAAACAATGGAGAGTGAATTCTGATATTGTCATGTTCGATCCACTAGAACACACAACCTTTCAAGCAGCAGTGTAGTTTTGGTGGGAGAGGGATGGGAAAGGACACTGTGATTGGATGGATAGAAGCTGACAGAGTAGTAGAGTCATATAGATGTGTCTGCTTATCTCTGTTTACTAAATTGCTTTATTGATATCAAAGAAAATAATTAAGTTGTCTAAACATTTCAGAATTTATGTAATAAATTTTATAAACCATAATCTGTCTTATTGTAGCGTATTTAAGATTTTATATTTTGATAAGGAGAAAGAAGATGAGAAGAAATTGCAGTTATCATCTCCTCGCCAACTTTGAAGCATATTTATTATCAACGTGGCCTCATGGAGCATTCACCAAAGAGCTCTCAAGTCCTGAAATCACTATAAGAAATATCTGAATAAAGAAATCTTCCCAAGAGACTCTAAAATATTCATTATCGAGACGAAAGTAGTTATGTGACATTTTTTAATAAGTTAATAATTGTTGACTATATTATATTTGATATAATTACAAAACAATTAAATAATTTTATGCTTAATGTAGATAATGTGCTTTTAAATCTATAAATTAAAACAAGAAAATTTCAGGACATCAATATGTAAGATTGAAGAAGATATAGGAGTAGAAGCCAAGAAACTAAACCAAGTATCATTACTCCAATCTTCCTTACACGTGGAGTTTAAAGTGTTATATCCACAAATAAATGCAGAAAAATTATAATTAGTAATTAATATCTGAAACATTGAAATGTCACTCAGCATTGAAAAGCAGCATTCTTTCAAACTGGAGATGAAAGTCGTGCAGTGGTGGGAGTATTATAGTTTGAAATAAAGAAAGAAAGCTACTAATAGTGAGCAGCTCCATTTCTTTAGGGTTGTTGACTAGTGCTTTATGTTTTCCTGTTGTGGTGTTATGTTTCTCTGATTATTTGAGATCCTTGTGGACTCATTGGTGTTTGTACATTTGAAGAAGTAGGTGTCTCTCCCAGTCTTGATGGACTGGCTTTGGCAGGGAAAGCCCTTCGCTTAACCCAGAGGTTCTGGGCTGGCCCTCTAGTAGGGTCCAGGGTGGGCTTGCTGCTGAAGTCCTCAGGTAGGCTGGCCTTCTGACCGGCTTAGTAGGTGGGTAGGCCTGCGGCCTAGGTCCCGAGGGGCTGACCTGGAGCTTGGGTCCACATGAGTGGGACTGGAGCCTGGGTCCACTGGGGTAGGCCTGGCATCTGATTCCATTATGGGAAGCCTGGGACCTGGATCCATGGGGCAGGTCTGGAGCCTGTGTCCATGGGGGTGTCCAGGTGCTGGATTGGGCTTGGCGTCTGAGTTCATGGGAATGGGCCTGGTCCTCAGTCTGTGGGGGCCAGTTTGTACTAGAGTCCATTAGGGTTGTCAGGTACGTGTGTCCGCAGGGACAGGACTGGCCATGGACTGTGGTGTTGGTCCTGGAGTCTGGATCTGTAGGGGATGGGCATGGAGCCTGGGTTCACAGATTTGGCCTGCTGCTTGGAGGGGCTGGGAGCCTAAGTCTTTAGGGGCATTCCTGGAGCCTGGAAACACAGGGCGACAGAGGCTGGTCTGTTGCTGGAGTGGCCTTAAGCCTGGAACTGTGAGGTTGGCCTGGTGCTGGGGCAGGGCTGGAGGCTGGGGCTGCAGGTGCTGGTCTGGAGCTTGGGGCCTCAGGGCTGGTCTGGTGCTGGGGCAGGTGCCAGCCTGCAGCCTTGGGCTGTGGGGGCATGCCTGGCACTGGAGTTCACTGTGGCAAACCTGGTGCTAGGGTCCATAGTGAAGTCAGTTGCTCACTTCACTCTCCTTCCCCCATGGGGAGGGTTTCGGTCTCCATGTTGCGCTACCTGGGCTTGGAGGAACAGTGACATGGGTCATGTGAGCTTGTCCTTCCTACCCTCTTCCACGCGTCTTCCTATTTTTATTCTCCACTCAGGTGCTGTAGTCTCTCACCTGAAACCCTTAGCTCTTGTGAAGGCATTTTTGTGCATGGATAGTTGTTCAAATTCATGTTTCTGTGAGGGGATGAGCACCGGTAACCCCTATTCTACCATCTTATTGACGTCCTATTTGCAGTTATCTTTTGCTTTCTGGCTCCTGTCTTACCATCGTTTTAATTTATCCCAGGAGTTTTATGTTCCTTTATTTTCCTTTCATACCTCACTTGGTCTTAACTAAACATATTTTTATTTTGTTTCTGTTAACTTATTAACTGTATAATTAGCCGTTATTTTTTGTTGTAAAGCTAATTTTGATTACTTGGTAAGGTGCTGTCTTCTAGGTCTCGGCAATGATTGTTTTAATTTTATAGTTGAGTAGTCATTTGAGAATACGCATACATGCTGTTCCTCACCTTTACCCACCAGTGTTCACATCCATCGAGATTTTCTAACTCCATCATTCCTTCTCCGTTAATTCACATTTAACTATAAGAAAGAGCCTTTTTGTCCTTATTCATTTTCAAATAAGTAAAAATTTTATATATTTTTATCTTATTCTATGAGTTGCAATACATTGTTCTCTTTATCATCTGATTCTCACCTTTTCCAGATGTATCCAGCTGTAGCCCCATGAAGCTGGCTCTGTGTCTTTTTGATAAGCTTCCACCACTTAAAACAATTACTCAATGTACTCAAGAAGTTTAATGCTGCATCCTGTGTCAAGTTCTGGATATTGGTTCCACATGCAGTTCAGTCCCATGAGTTGATCCAGACTTTGACCAAAAGAACAAAAGCGAACTTTGTGAGGAAGTAAAGCAAATTGATCTTGCAAGTTGTTTGCGAAAACATCTATGAGCATGTCAATACAAAAATGTGGCATTTAAATTTCTCAATAAGTTATCATTTTGTGAGGAAAACAAATGTGCTTGATTTAACTTAATGTAGTGATTTTTATACATAAAAAGTTTTGCTTTTTTGAGGTGCTATTACTTCAGTGATGATAATGAACAGAATTTTTTCAAACTACTTAAAAATGCATAAATTAACTTTGAGATATTGTTTTAAAGTACAATACTTAGAATTAACATAGTCTACTAAGTATTTATTAATGGACCAAATATGTGCCATTAGTAGAATTGGAAATATTGCAATTTTCACTATAAAGCCACTTTGCTTTGACTGTTATTTGTGGAAAAAATTGCAGTGGTTTTTGAAATCCTATATGTCATTAGTTATTATTCTAATACTTTCTTTCCAAATGAAGAATGCATTGTGGTAAGGAAGTCTGTGAGGGTGACATTATATAGAGATAATTTTGTATCTTCTCTAGTTTGTATGTGAAAATAGATTATTCTCAAATATTGACTTTTCCATGCTTATTAATCCATAATATGATATAACTAGGTTGAGACATGAAGGTTAGATTAATAAGTCTAGATTTTAATGGAACTTTTCCTAGTTCAAATTTATTAAATAAAGATTACTATTGCATTTTCATAGTATAAATGTCCTTTATTTCCTGATCTGGCAGAGAAAAACTTTATTTATCTGTGGTTAATAATATATTCTTTACACTTCTCTGAGATACTTAGTGATAAAAATTTGAAGCTTGTTTAAAATCTAAGAATTTGTGTTTGTCATTAAAATAGTTGTCTTCAGATAGCTATGTTAACTGTAAAAATTCATTTTAAGTCTCTTCTATCTAGAAATTTACTTACAACATAAACTTTCCCTCTTCTAATTAAACATTTTATTGAAAATAAATGTATTAAGAAAATCTCTTTATAATGACTGAACAAAGGATTTTGCCAGATTTAAAATCTAAAGCTT